CTCCCCCATGCCCTCGGAATTCCAATCGTAAGTACCCCCATGCCTTTGGATTTCCAGTTCAAAGAACCCCCCTCCCCTTGCCCTCAGAATTCCAAAAAGCTGCCCGTGGTATACATGTAGGTGTGGGTATTTTCTGGAATCACCCAATTGGTCAATCAGAGCGTGAGTATTGGCAACAATTACAAGCTGTACAATAACAGTGCATCGTCAAAGACTGTAGTTCAGGCAGTCAATCGTTTTGGCCAGAGATCATTGTTAAATTTTACCAATAATGCATAATGTTAAAATCAGAATTGGAATAAGCTTACATGTAGGCTTACATTTTCAGGTTCATATCCTTTAAGAGGGAACTTTTATGGATGTTAGAAATTAGAAGGATTTGTAAGGGAAGAAGACGCTTTGCCCTCCAATCACACTCCAGTCGTTTTCCACATAAATCCTTGTAATTTTGCAAGTTTTCAAACTACCATAAAATCTCTGCCTTTTGTCTGCCTTTATTAAGAAGCTTGTAAAATCCACATAAAATGTCTTCCCAATGAACCGCAATAAACAGATCACAACGAACCCGACACTCACAAACACACTGCACACTAACAAATACATGAAGAAATGCATTAGAAAANCACATAAAATGTCTTCCCAATGAACCGCAATAAACAGATCACAACGAACCCGACACTCACAAACACACTGCACACTAACAAATACATGAAGAAATGCATTAGAAAAGAGGGCACAGCGTCTCCTCTGTTTTTAGACTTTAGGGTTTTCGCAATCCTTGTTTTGATTTCCCATATGCCGCACAAACAAAAGCATAAGCGTTCATGGAAATAAACCAACAAGAATACATAAAAGAATCATTGACATGAAAACAAACCTCCTGCTATCTCTTCTCCAAGCGTCACTTTAAGGAAGCAAGAGAGCGAAACGAAAATACCGCTAAGAACAAGAGTGATTGCCATATTTATATCCGGGTTATATGAAGATTGGCGGAGAATGACTCTGCAAACCATCCCGGCAGGAGCCCCGGGCCCCAAACGATCGCGGGACCGGAAATGATCCAGCGAACCGGAAATGAGCTCCTCGGCAAAATATTGAAAGGTGTGGACTGAGGAATATTGGACAGTGGATTTAAAATTGATATTTTCAAAAAATAATAATGCAACCGTTAATTCTAATACAACATTTACTATAGGGAACCCAAGCGAAATGTACAGTAATAATTAATCAACGATTTGAATGCAATGTAACAGTTCAGTACAACAGACAGCTTACTTATAAAACTGAAACAAACATATTTTTTGTTACTTTTATAATTCTATGACCTAGATCGCCAGCCCCATTGCTCTAGTAAAATCAGAAACTTATAAATAGGGTCTTTCTCCCCCGTAGAAAAACTTCAAGGAAAATTTAGAACAGCTCTTTGTGGAGCTGTTGAAAACGGATCTTTTCAGAGCTGCCACAAAAACAGAAGTCTTCCTCAGTTTGTTTTCTTTGATTCATTTGTCATTGTTTTGTTAGCAGGAAATTAGTGATGAAAATGATATTCAAATCCTGGATTTGATATTTGGTTTTTCTGAAACAGAATGCCTGGATCCCACATAACACATACTAGTAGCAGATGGTGAAATCACATACATGATGAAATAACACTGAATGACCTTGAAATTAAGTTTGACCTTTTCACACAGGAGTCCCTCCCTAGGTAATGTTGTATGACTATGTATCACAGTAAATGTGGACTAGAAATTAAAACACACTGGAAATCTTAAGAGGGTAGCAGTATACATCATATGGCAGGCCATATTTTTTACAACAAAAAAATTGGGTCATTTTCATTAAACTCCCTACTGCAGACTCATAGTCCCGAGGATGTCTGCTAAAGTTTTAACTGTAGGTAATGGTGATCAATCTGGTTGATAGCATCTTTGAGGTAGTCTATGTTTAGCTGAACCCCCCCCCCCCTCTCAAAAAAAAGGAAAATCAGAAAAAAGGCAGCCCTCCCATTTTTCCTCAGGGTGGGGTGGGTACAGAGGCACAAATGAAGGCTCCCTTAAGACTTGTTGAAATATTAAAATTAATGACAGAAAATAATTAACTTCAGCTAGTTATACAGGGAATGGATGTTTATTTTTCACATCTTTCAGACCCATCTACAAACTTCCCTGTGTATGCTGTAATAAGACGCAGAAAAGTTGAAGATGCCGTGAGCAGCTGGCTACTTCAGGGATAGGCAAATAGCAGGACCTTTGCCACATTTTTCTTTCTTTTGCAATAACTAAATTGAAACAAATAAAATACAAGATTGAGTTTCCACCATACCACAACAACTCGGAATATTGTTGTGCTAATACTACAAAGATACTTAAAAGTGCCTTAAATAAAATGGGCTATTAACGTAATGACTAAAACTAAGATATACTTCAAGTTTCTAACAATTCAAGTAATCACCATCTCTACATCAGGATTTGGAGGCAGTTACTCCTTGGGCTGACCACGAAAGGCTGATGAGTCTCTCATTAATCTGCTATTGCACCTCAGGATCAAAGCTACATTCTGACCACATAGTGAGTACTGGTAAGAATTTTCTCGATTTCTAAAACAAGTACTTTAAAAAATGTGCCAAGAAGAAAAAACTGGGAATTTAACTATGTTAAAACTGTATTGTTATCTCAGTTTTAATTGGTCCAGCTCTCTCCAGTCAACCTTTCGCTAACATCCCACAACTTCTTTCCCAAACCGGGATCTTTGGCAAGTGGATTGCACTCCTTGACTCGGCAATCACTGTAGTAAAGCCCTGAAATACCTTCCAGCTCTTCTGCGACTGAACAGTAGATTGTTGTCTGTGCTCCCTGCTCGCAATCTTTGAAAAGCAGGAACATCACGAGCTGCACTAATGGTTTCATATAGGGTTTCTCCAAAAATGGCCAGTATCGCCAGATGTCAGACTTCACAGTACCAGGATGAAGGGCATATACTGTTACTCCAGTGCCTGAAGTTACAGAATTAAGAATTGACTAATTAAAGGTTGGCATGCTGCACTCTGGACCAAGCAATCTAAATTCAAGCCTTGTCTGGGTCAATATGTTGTACCTCTCTCTACCCATGTATATAAAGCAACCTTTGCTCATTAATTAACACATGACTCTACAAAGAGACGGCATCATGCTCAATGCAAATTTACTCCAAACATTTACAGGGTTTGTGAAATTTAGAACAAGTAACTGATCAAATGTTTGGCTCTTTGCAATTGGGTGTCATAAGGAGGAATTATCTGCAAAATTTCTGGGTGATAAAAGTGCTAGCGAGCTCAAACATTCTTTATAAAATTTTGCATTCTTAAACCTGTGTCACACAAGAAGTATCCAGTCCCTAAATAACGAGAGTTAATCATGCCATGCCTTTTTCAATATTCAACAAAAATTTTTACAGTTCGATAAGACACTGAATCATTTATTTTAATGAGGTAAATATTGTAAACAAAGATTCCCCTATACATGTAGTGCTTTCAACAAGGCTCACACTTGAATAAGATGGTGCCCTGGTGAGTTCTCCATCAGAGAGCAGTAAAAAAGCCCCATAACAACTTTCTCCTTAGGGTAAGGTTAGTTTCAGTTGGACCTGGCCCACTAATATAAACTTGAGTAGTTTGAATTCCCTATTAATTTGACTCAAAACAATTTATTAGATCATGGATTTGCCCTACAGTCATTAACGCTATTTCAATTCACCGCTATTTTCAAACTATTTTTGTTTCCCCTGAGAGTTAGTTATAACAGGGTTCAACTTTATCTCCTACAGCACCAGCCATTCAGGTCACGGTCAGGCTTGAATGTGGACAAGATTAACCTTTACCTACACTATAATCATGAGAATGACAATAAAGATTATAGTTTCAAGACCAAAACAATAATAATTTAATTATTATTTTTTGGACATAAGAGATTATTTTAAATAAACCTCATGAAACATTAATGTAGTTATAGACTGAAGATGTTCACTAATAACTCACCTTCTAATCTTTTGCTTAACTCCTTGGTAAACACAACCTGTGCTAACTTTGCCTGAGTATAGCGAACAAATCCATTAAACTTGTCTTTGGAAAGTTTAAAGTCATCAAGTTGGAAGGCTGCACCTTTTGAGGCATGTCCAATAGATGATACATTTACAATACGACTTGGTGCTGATTTCTTCAGTTTCTCCATCACTAGTAAAGTGAGCAGAAAATGGCTGATGTAGTTCACTTGAAAACTACTTTCATAGCCATCCTCTGTCACTTTGTAAGATTCAAAAAGCCCTGCATTGTGTACAAGAATGTCCAGCCTCTCTTCTGTTTCATTGATGAGCTTAGCAAAAGCTCTGACGGACTTAAAAGAAGCCAAGTCAAGAATCCTGACAACAACTTTATCACTTCCAGTCTCAGCAATAATGTCCCTTGCAGCATCTTTGGCCTTCTCCTCATTGCGGCAAGCCAAAATGACCCTGGCACCTCTCTGTGCAAAATCTAATGCTGTCTCCTTGCCTATTCCAGTGTTTGCACCTGTCACAATTGCAGTCTTGCCTAAACATTACAAAACAACAGAACAAAAATATATTGATTACTCATCCTGGTTTCCTAATTTAACAGACTAAGCACTCCACTGTACTTGAAATTAATACAAAAATTGTGCTATGCATTGCTTGGCATATGATTTTAAAAATGTTCATCTAGTTTCAGTTGCCATCTTCTCTTAAAAATATCAATTCCCTAAAATTTCGTTTCATTTTTTGCTGAAAATGTCACTTTTTGGGGAAAATTCACTGAAATGCTCACTAGCCATTTTTTGACATAAATAATAATTGAAGATTGAAACACAGCCAGGATGAGGCATAATCAAAATTACAATAAAAACATTTGCTGGCTAAAAATTTCATTTCTACAGCCTTCAATGAATAAAAACTGGACTGCAATATGATAAAATATATACAAGAAAAGGCAACATAAAAATAAGAAGAAGAACAAAAGCAAAGTAAAAATATGTGAATTAGGTGACTATTGTGTAAAAAGAATACTATAATGGTTTGGAATCAGCTTAGAATTATTGTCAGCATGCTTGGTTACAGAGGTGTTCTAAGCCAATTCCAATACATTAAATACCGGTAGTTTATGGTACCTAACTAGCTTTCCTGCAGACCACTGACATGGTCTAGACAATATAGATTTAAACTATAAGAAGAGCTCAGTCATACCCACTTTATATAACGCCTTTTCTTCCTTGAAAGTAACAACCCCACAAAAGTAACGAGCCTCAAAGGCTGCTAATTCCAAAAGTAGCGCTGGTCATTACTTTTGGAAGTTTACAGTCACACATGCATCTTAAAATCAAAAATTATTTTGAGACCACCAAGATTATAATTTGACACTTTTTGAAGTG